CGGCGGGCGGGGAAGGGGTTCGGGGAGGAGCGGGGAGCGGCGGGCGGGGAAGGGGTTCGGGGAGGAGCCCTGATGTCAGAATGTTAATGAGAGGCTCCCCCAGCCCAGCCCCCCACCCCACCCCACCCCACCCGCTGGAAATACAAGCCCAGCCTCGGCGCGCCATGTGTGGTAACGCGCTCGGCCGCTGCCACGCTATTTAAAGTCGGGCTATGGATCCAGGCACCGGCACGAAATCAATGAGATCAAACGCGAAGGGGCTGACGATGCACCGTCAAATACAAGCACTTGGACAAGTCTAACTTTTTTTCCTCCTTTTTCTTTCTTCTTTTTCCTTTTTTTCTTTTTATTATTATTATTTTTTTTACAAATGCGCTTTCAAAAGCAACCTTAGCAACGCCCAAAATAAGAAGCCACCTCTAAGCCAAGTAGCATATGTATAAAGGGAGGGTGACTATATATTTATAATAAGTGTATATGTGTGTGTGTGTGTTACCGTCGCACAGGTTTACACTAGGCGAACTTTTTCTATGTAGTTTTATTTTAAACCAGTGACACTGCAGAGAAGGTCTGTTCCTCTCTATCTGTCAGCGCGTTCTGAGAGGGGGTCTATTCTCTGTTCTCGGAGCGCCCAAGGGGGCGCAGGCAGGGACCTCGGCGAAGAAGAAGAGTGGGGAGGAAAAAGGAAGGGTGGGTGGGGGCCCGGGGCGAGCGCCTTCTCACAGCTCGATGATGTGGTCCACGCCGGTGCTCACTCTCTCCGCGTGCGTGCTGCTGGGCTGGGCGTTGCTGGCCGGCGGCACGGGCGGCGGCGACGGCGGCGGCGGGGGCCCCGGCCCGGGCGGCGGGCGCCGGCAGAGAGAGGCGCTGCTGCCGCAGAAGATCGACGTGCTGGTGCTCCTGCCCCGGGACGACTCGTACTTGTTCTCACTGGCCCGGGTGCGGCCCGCCATCGAGTACGCGCTGCGCAGCGTGGAGGGCAACGGCACCACCACCGGGAGGCGGCTTCTGCCGCCGGGCACTCGCTTCCAGGTGACCTACGAGGACTCGGACTGCGGCAACCGCGCGCTCTTCAGCCTGGTGGACCGCGTGGCGGCGGCGCGGGGCACCAAGCCGGACCTGATCCTGGGGCCGGTGTGCGAGTACGCGGCGGCGCCGGTCGCCCGGCTGGCGTCTCACTGGGACTTGCCCATGCTGTCTGCGGGGGCCCTGGCCGCCGGCTTCCAACACAAGGACGCGGAGTACTCGCACCTCACGCGCGTGGCGCCGGCCTACGCCAAGATGGGCGAGATGATGCTCGCCCTGTTCCGCCACCACCACTGGAGCCGCGCGGCGCTGCTCTACAGCGACGACAAACTGGAGCGCAACTGCTACTTCACCCTCGAGGGGGTCCACGAGGTCTTCCAAGAGGAGGGCCTGCACACGTCTGCCTACAACTTCGACGAGACCAAAGACTTGGACCTGGACGACATCGTGCGCTACATCCAGGCCAGTGAACGAGGTGAGCGCGCGCGGGTCCCAGTGCCCCCCCCCATCCCCGACCCTAACTATAACCCAGTGCTCCCCAGGGCCATGCGATCCCAGGGAGGGAGCTCCCTGCGCACGGGGGCCGGGGGACAGCCACGCCGCCCCCTGAGGATCGCCCCGTGGCGGTGGAGGAGGGGGTGCATCTAGAGGGTTCTGGCTCAGTCTGGCTGAGCAGGGGAGTGGCCATCTGGACGGATGGCTTCTCGGTGCCTGGGTATGACAGGTGTCAAACCACGAGGGGCTTCCTTCCTCGCTCCCTCATACCAGCATGGGGCAGGACAGTAGGGGCGCATTACCAGCGCTCCACTAGCCGAAGGGGCCCGAGACCTAAAGCACTGGTGAACCCCGGTGCAGCGGGCCCGCAGCTGGTGCGCACGCGTCTCCGGACGCTGTGCAGCTGCGCGCCGCCGCCGCCGCCGCCGCCGCTGAGCTAGCTCGGATACCCCAAGTTTCCCCGCTTGTACTTTTTATTTGTTTACAACCCCTCCCCCGATTTCTTTTAGGAGCTCATTGTATGGTTCTTCGCGGTCCCTCCAGGTCCCCTCTGGTCCTTTAGAAACAGGCGGCTGTGGTTTCTATTCTGAAATGCTTCCTTGGGTCGGGGCCCGGCGACGCTCCTTCCCCAGGGCGCGCTCAGGCACCGTGCGCGCTGAGCTGGCTGGCTGGCTGGCCAGAGTCTGAGCGCTCGGGAGCAGCGGGGCGCGGAACCTCCTTTCTGCTTTCTCCTTCAATCGCAAGAGGTTTTGGGATGTTACCCAAACTGGAAAGAATTCAAGGCTGGGGGCGTGGTGGCCACTGACTTACAGGTGGTCGCGGATAGGTAATCTGGAACGCCTCCAGTGCTGTCCATTTCACTGTAGGAACTGCGGGAAGGAGGCCTAGGGTCCAGCATCGAGCCGTTCCTGCCTCTGTGTGGTCGCCCTCGGGGGATTCAGCCCTCAGGGAATCCCGCCTCGGTTTCCTTTGGTCATAGTGGAGGTTGGGATGTCTGTGGTACAACCCTGGCACCAAAGTGAGACTCAAGGAGTAGGGAGCTAAGCCAGGTGTGCCAGGCACTACCTGGGAACTGATCTCGGTGTGTTTGTGAGGCCAAGAGCCGAGGGGACAGGTGAGAGCAGAAAGGGGAGACATCGGGGGCGCTGAGCCACCTCTCCACTTCCAACTTGGCCCGCCGCAGGTCCTGGGGATACGTGGCAAGTTTTGAATCTTCACACTCCTGGGTGTCCGCACCAAATCTCTGCTAGCTAAGCAGGCAGGGCGGCTGCTTTGCTGATTGGGGGTGGGGGTGGGGGTGGAGTGGGAGGTGTTTGTGTTTAACAGCTTGCAAATTTGCCACGTCTGGACAGAGACCCCAGGCTACCACAGCCTTCTGCTTTGACCCAGAGCCCAAGAGTTTTTTCAGCTGTAGGCTGAGACTTGGTAGGGCAGGCTGAAGATGGAGGTGTGTCCCCCTCTGGGCAAGATCAGAAGTTTGTCAATCCTGCCACTGCCGCTTTGCCTTGCTAGTCCCTTTTAGTAGTGGCCCCAGAACTGTGGCCTAAAGACCAGGCCATGGGGATCTGCTTGGCCAGCTGAGGTGGTTGCTGAGGACTTGGCTCTGGGAGCATTGCTTCAGGGTGCTAGTGGACCTAGGGGCTGGACCCCACCGCCTCACAGTTTATACCCCCTCCCCCTCCACCCACCCCACCCCTTTCAAAGGATTATGTGCATTCTCTGCCAGGTTACTTTTTGTTTTTAAATTTTTCTAACTTCATAGATATTCCCAAATTTCTTTGCCTTTTTTCTCTTCCAAGGTTGAAATTAGTGGTGCAAGTTTGCTGGACTGACATGTATTTTACAGGTGATAAGGTGAAGATTTCATTATTCTGTTTTCCCAAACTAATCTCCAATAGATATTTAAAAATATGAAACAAAATAGTTTCACCCCTAGGCTGTTTCTTCTATCCCCTGAAATTCCTTGCTCTCTGAAGAGAAATTTGCTTGATCTCAAATTCTCTCAGGAGATCTCCTACAAACACATTGTGACCTACACCAGCATTCATTAACAGTTAGTGGGTTGAGATTTGGTGTATGTTTTCAGTAAAGTTTGTGAGTGGCCTGGCCACTCACTGGGTAGTAGATCTTGCGCTGTTACTCAGTTGTACCTAGGCTCCTCAGGTAAAGTGGTGCTGATATAGACCCACATCTTTCAGATGCTGGAAGGGTTTAATGAGTTAAGCCAGGGAATGAACTCAAAAAATGCTAGATTCAAACTGAGATGGCTCAATAAATGAGACGTTTCATTGTGGTAATTATTGTGTGTGCATACATATATATGTGTGTGCATATGCATATACACATATATGTGTATATATGTGTAACATACATAACATGCATGTATGAATACACATATACATATAGCTGTGCATATGACACACACATATATGTATGTGTGTATATATGTATATATATATATATGCATGTATTTGGTTATAATCACCTCAGAGGCCGTGGCATGGGGACAGATCTCTTGAGAAGTGTAAGCTTGTGGGTTTGGTGTCTATATTATGCTCCTGTGTAGCCTGTGTCAGGCTCTGAACTCTGAACCTGGTTTCTTTCTGAAACAAGAAGTCAGATGAGAATTCAGCTTCATGTCAGATTGGAGATGCTACGCTTAATGTAGTTCTTTAAGACCAAATAATGGCTGTTTGGATCTCTTAATTGGTGAAAAATGACAATACCACCATCTCAAACTAAATTCTCATTTGGCTACATGTTTTATTTGAAAGAATAACCAGGGATAATGAATTATTCTTACCAACCTCTTAGAGATTTACCTTCTAAATCATTAATTCAAAACCTCATTTCCCCTCTCACATCTGTAGTAAATATTAAAACAAACACACCTGAGCATCTGTGGAGGTATATGTCTGTAATTCCAGCATTCAGGAGGCAGAGATAAGAGGATCTATACTTCAAGGACAATTAAACAATGAGATCCTGTCTCATTCTATACTTCAAGGACAACCTAGGTTAAACAATGAGATCCTGTCTCATGAATCAAAAACAAACATCATCCAAAATGGATTTACTTATATAGCTGACTACTGACCTCAATATTTCCTACTTAATAGTAAATTTCACTGTTTCTGAAGACAGAATTCTTCCTAGCACCGAAAGTCAGTAGCTATTTTGTTCCTGTGCCTTATAAGATAATAGAATTAAAAGTATCCCATATACATTCTTTTCTATAAGAACCCTAATTTCATTCTTTTAGTTATTAAAGTATCATTACTCGTGACATCCATAATGATTTTAGACATAAATATGTTTAATCAATACATGCATTTTTAGTAGTCTGAGCTAAATGTGTAGTAAGTTTTTGAATGGTTGATCAGAAGAATTTTTTCAAGAATTATGATTTACTATAACTAACACAGGACACAGGAAAAGCAGCTCGATTGGCTTCAATGTAAGAATCACGGGCCCTTTGGAGTAGATGGAAAACGACAAAAACAAGATGTAATCTGTATGTTGAAAATAGTATCCATTTCTAGGTCATGTAAAAACAGCCAGAGAAACCTCCTTGAAAAAAATTACACTTTATTTTTACTGAAATTAATTATGTAACTGTAAAGTTGAAAAGTCAGAAAATTACATTAGTACCAGGAGAAGTTTCATGCTCTCTACTCCCCATTTCTGACATTCCAAAAGCAATCATTTCCAACCCTCAGAGATGTCCCAAAGCTGTTTTCCTTTATTTCTGTAAATTACTTGCTACTTTGCACGTTATAATTTTAAGTCTAATTTCTTGGTATCCCAGTGGAAATTATTGTAATTCTCTTCTACTGTATGTTAACTGCACACATACAACTTCTTCTATTTATTCTTCTAATAGGATGATCTCAAAATTTTTGGTTAGTTCAGCATTCAGTATCAGTATTATTATTACCTTCTACAAGAACCTTAATTGAGTCAAACAGGCTACTGTGGTGATGGTTGCTTTTTGCCCTGCTTTTTTTGTTGAGGAAAACAAAAACAAAACCCTTTCTTTTGTTTCCTTAGGTTCCCATGGACTTACAGTGAACTCATCTTCTAATTCTCTGTTTTAAGCCTCTGGGCTGCTTCAGCTCAGTTATTTTCTGGGCATACTGTTACTCTTTTTTTCTTCAGTATTTTACTGGGACTTTAGTCACCTCTCTCTTTAGCTAGACCTTTTTCCTGATGTATGCCCTTGTTTTGGTAGAACACACCTTTCAGGAGCTTTCTATGAAAGAATGAATGAAAGCTAAATTTTGAGAACTTTCCTAACTGAAAATTTCTGCATTTTAACTTTGACACATAAGTATAGAATTTGGGGTTGGAAATCTTTGTATTTTTCTTTCTGAAATTTGACAGCACTACATTTTCTTCTATATTCTGATATTGGTGTTTCTCCATTTGAACTGATTTGTATTCTGGACTTTCTGAACATTCTGTCTTTCTGAACATTCTGTCTTTCTGCATATTTTAGAATTTTCTCTTTGCTCTCAATACCCTAATATTTAATTGTACTGTATACTGGCATGGAAATTTTGCCTTGTATACTTGGTAAGTTTCCATTTTCCCAGAAATTCATGTTGTTTTGTTTAATTTGGGAAAATTTTCTTAAAAATTTTCTTAAAAATTTTCTTGAGTTTTATCCCTTTTATTTTCTCTTTGTAGATGTTTTCCAATTTGGATGTTATAACTGGATATGTCCTTTACTTACTTTTTTCTTATTTACTACCTGTGTTTTTTTTTTAAAAAAAGTTTGCTTCAGAATTCCTTATTTGACCACCTTTAAAATGACTATTGAGGTGTTTTTTGTTTTATTTTGTTTTGTTTTGTTTTAGGGTCCGGTCGTGGGGTCTGAACTCAGGGCCTGGGCACTGTCCCTCAGCTCTTCAGCTCAAGGCTAGCACTCTACCACTTGAGCCACAGCGCCACTTCCAGCTTTTTTCTTTTTGCTTATGT